TGCGGCGACTCGCCCTTCCCCCACCCGCCACCGCGGCCCGCGCTTCACAACAAAGCCCGGCTGCAGAGCGGTGGGGCCTCATGCCGCCCGTCACAGCGGGCGGCAACGACGCCTTTCCCTTACCGGCCTCCGCTGCCTGGTGCCCGAGAGCACAGCCCTCTTCGGACGGTCCGCGGTACCGGCCTCTCTCGGAGAAACCCGCTGAACGGACCGCAACTCGCACCGAGGCGCCGGCGAAATGGCTGCGGCGGCGGCGGCGGGGGGCGTGGTCAGCGCGCTTACGCAGGCGCAGAAAGAGAGCTCCGCGCCGCGGACGCCGCGCGGAAGAGGCGGAGCCTGAACATCCCGTCGCCTAGGAGATTCGCTGTGCCTCGAAGGTCGCTTCCGGTAGTGGCCGCTTTTGAACGTTTTGGTGGGGAGTCGGGGTCCTATACCCACTAACTGAGCCAACAATACAGTTTGAGAAAATAAGGACAGATCTGAAAGCTTCTAGACACAGCAAGTACAATACATTACAACAAGAGAAAAATTAAATCCTTTTTAAAAAGTGTTATTGATAGTGGTAGTGTTAATGGCTTAATATTTAATACTGATGACTTTTAGTGTGATGAATGTCACAAGTGGAGTGTACAATCTGGATTCCAACAGAAATGATTGTCTAGATTTTGAGGATGGAGAAGATATCTGATTCCTTTAAAATTATTGGTATTCATTGAAATGCCAATTTCTTTTATAATTCTTTTTTTATGGCTTGCTGTGCATGTTATTTTGCCAACTCTTAGTTAAAAGGTTTAACAGTGATGTCATGTTCTCAGTTGTATAAAGAACATACACTGAAATGCTTGAATAGCTACAAAAACTAATAATAACTGATACTTCATTGTGCTTATATTCCAGCATGATTCTATTCATTCTTTTTTATAAGCAAGCATGACAATGGAGGTCATTCACGGATATTACTTTTCTGTATCCACTGTACCAGTTTCTATTGAAACATTTATCTACAAGCCCTGTGACTTCCTGTACAGAAATTTACTCAAGTTTATTGGACTTTGTAACTTGCTTTGTTCTACTTTTAGAGTTATCTTTGTTTTCTCTGCCTTTGTTTCATAGCAATTACTTTAACATTAGTTTATACGTTGGCTTGCTGCTTACTTTTGCGGTCATTGAAACACCATATTTACAGGGGCTGTTATGGTGCCGGTATTAAGGATTGGGGCTTTATTTCCCCATGCAGGTGTAGATTTGAGCATTTTGCTGCCTGCTTTCTATAAGCTTTTGTTGCTACTCATACATTTCTATAGGGATATAGGATGTTTTACTTTTTCTCAGGGGAGTAAGGGGAAGTTTGTGGTGGCCAGAGCACAACTCTTTGGTTCTTTGAAACTTGAAGCTCTAATTAAAGTTCTCATTTAGCAACATGTGGAGACCTGAATTCTTTTTGGAAGGCCTGTCCTTTGTTATGTGAAAACCACCCTAATGGGCCTTTCCATTATAGGAACTGAAGCAAGTTCTCACCTAACCCAATCTTTTGGGGGAAACCTGTGACATCACAATTAATCTGAAAGCAGGTGTTCTAGAGTCATGCTGAGCAGCCTAGGAAGCTGGTGTGTTAATAGCTGTGTATTTGTTAAGTCATGTTGTAATTTGGCATTCAAGGTAGCTCCGCATTTTCCTAGATCCCAAATGAATATTTATTGAAATGAAAGTACATTACAAGTGGTTTAAGATGAGAAAACTTGAAGATAGGATTGAGAACCAGAAATCAAGATAATGGGAGCTCCGAAAGCAAATGGAATTAATTACAATTTCCCTCTTGATTCCATTTCATCCACAGAAGCAGAAATTTCTCCATGAAAATTTTGTGCAATACTGAATGACTCAGGGCTCATGGATCCTTTTGGAGTTTTCGTCCCTTCACAAAAATAAAACTTTTAAAGATCATAATAGGAACCCAGACTCTTCAGTTTAGCTTCTGCATTATCAATAAACTCCTTGGAGGCTCTCTGCAGTGGGAGCCGGGGTGGGCCCATTGGAATCCCAGACACCAGAGTCATGATGGCTTTGGTCTGTGACACTCCAAAACCTACACAGAAAAAAATAAAGGAGGCAATGTGACTGGGACTGTCCACTCCACCACAAACATCCACAAGAAGAGATCACATTTTTACAGTGACTACTACGACAGAATAAGGTGAGCTAAAAGATGGGAACGTTTCTCGTCAATGTGGCAGACTGAGAAGACAGGGAATCCCTCTTCCTACTTCAAATACATAGAAATGCTGGACGGAAAAATGTTTTAAACAAATTGACAAGCTATAAAATAAAATGAAGTAAGACTCAAAGTTAACCTCAAAAGCAAAAAGGAGGCACCAAAGTTATCAGGGATAAAGAGGTCAGAGTAGTGAAGAGCTGAAGCCGAATGGTCCATGAGAATAATCTGATTCAGGGGTATAGTGTGGTTGATCAAATGATATAGGACTTCATCGCTAGGACAGAATTTAGTTCAAGCATGTCTGAGAAGTCCCTGAGAGATGCACTATTTAAGGTAGTTTGTGACTCAATGTTGCTGTTCTGGGCTGGTGTTATAAAGCTGGGGCAGGAAAGCAAGAGGAAGCCTTGGGTCTGTGCATAGCAAAGAGCTGGACTCAAATTCCCTGTGTAAACTGGTAGCCAGCCTTCTATGAAAAACAAGAGAAAAAAACCTGGCCCACTGACTTAGGGATGGAGGCACAGCTCTTGACTTCTGCCTGGGCTGTGGATGGAAAATGATCACATGAAAGAAGCCCCGAGCCTGTGCCATACATGAATGATAGATCCATATTTGCATTATGCACCTGATGTAGGAACCAGACTAAGAAATAACCTAAAAACTGGTTAGAACTGGTGAAATTACGTGTCCTAGCAGAGGCCTGATGGGACACCTCACAACCTGGAGCTCAGAGGGTTGCCCAGAAAACAAGAGTCTCTGAAGATGCATTCAGTTAAAAATGACAGAGAACATGAGGAAAAAGAAGCTGTGTGAAAGCCAGCAAATGCACAATTAGCAAGTTTCACGTCCTGCGAACTGATACAGAATTCTGAAAGAGACTTCACAGAGGTAAAAGAAAGAAGTAGAAGCCATGGGCTCAGAAAGGGGCATAGAAATAAAGAATAGGAAGACTTGAAAACAACAGCCTAAAAGAAATACTGAAAATGAAAAATATATAATCAGTGAAACTAAACATAGCTAAAGATAGAATTAGTGTTTTTGAAGGTAGGTATCAGGAAATAATCCAGAATAGAGAAAAAGGTATTTGTTTTCTTAACCTGCTATTGCTTTTTACAATATAAGAAGTAACTTCCTTTTGCTAAATTAACTTAGTTAGAGTAACAATTTATCATTGGGAAGGAAAATACTAGAACGACTAATTAAATAGCATACAGTCTGATGAGTGCAAAATGACCCATGTTTATTATAAATGGTGGAATAGGGAGCTACCTTCATGATAGTACTACATGTTTATTAAGATAAGTTTCTCTTTGACTACACCATGAAAACTCAACTCCAACTCCCAAGAAAGTCTGAAATGAGCTTTTGAAGATGTGTTCTTTGAGAACATAATAACTATCTTCAAAAAAAAAACAACAAAGCACAATAAAATCTATCTTCAAGAGTCCCCTTTTAAAATGCAAATATTCTGGCAAAGTTAATCCTTCAAGTAATATCTTAGAGCTATGTTTTGTAAAACTGTTACAGTATCACTGCTGATATGCAAAACAATCATATATACAGATAAACTTTTGGTTCTTTTAAAAAGTCAATAGTTCAATATCTACTTCAGTGCACTTTAGGAACATATAACTATCATATCAAACCCACAATTCTGTAAAAAAGTATTGCTTAGGGCAAGGGAATAACAATAGGTCCTTAATAGTACTGGTGGCACAGAAATATGACAAAAATGAAAGTGGTAAAGCAAATGGGAAACACTGTCCTTGAAGGATTAAGAGAGCTAGCTGAAAATCTGGTGAGAATGAGGGAAATAACACATTCTAGGTGCTTCGAGGTTGCTAGGGTGAGTCAGAAAGGCTCTGAAAAGGAGGTGCGGCAGGTTTGCCAAGAATAAGCCTAAACTTTTCTTTTTAAAAAAATATATTTTATTGATTTTTTACAGAGAGGAAGGGAGAGGGATAGTGTTAGAAATATCAATGAGAGAGAAACATCGATCAGCTGTCTCCTGCACACTCCCTACTGGGGATGTGCCCGCAACCAAGGTACATGCCCTTGACCGGAATTGAACCTGGGACCCTTCAGTCCGCAGGCCGACACTCTATCCACTGAGCCAAACCGGTCAGGGCAGCCTAAACTTTTCTTGGACTTGACCTAGGTTCTCAGGAAGGGCCAGTCTCTTGCAGAAGTGGAGTGAATGGTGGCATTTGGCATGTATCATAGGATAAGATGTAGGAGACTCTGCAAAGGTTTCTTTACTCAAATTCACTGTATTTCCCTCAGATTCTACATTGTCATATTATCCAATCCTCCATCCATTTGAGCTTAGTTGTGTTTATAAACTCTTTTTAAGTTGCAGATACTCTTGGGAGCGCTGTCAGTCATTCACAATTTAGTACGATCTATATTCAGACTGCCTTCCTCCAGGCACTTAGTCTGAAGTCAGTGACAGTGTGGTAGTGGAATTTTAATGAGCACAGGCAAGTAAAGGGAGGGAGTGCTGAAGGTGCAGGGGAGAAGGAATAGAAAATGGTGTGTGTGTGTGTGTGTATAGAGCAGGGAAGTGAGCAAAGTGCTAAAGTAGAGGAGAAAGGTTTAAGGAAGATGCCCAAGCCTTCCAACTAGGTTGACTTCACTATTTTATCAGGTTGGCCCTGAAGGTTAGTATTAGCATTAAAAGGTATTTTTGTTGAACCCTCAAGAGAATGGGATCAAAATGCATCATATCACTTTCTCCAAAATCCTCAGAGAAAGCCCATTTCCTTTATAGTCTCCAGTAGCAGACAAGAAGGAAACTTACCTAGTTTGATCACAAAGTTGATAAATCTCTGAATACAAAACTGAAAAGGAACAAAAAAATCTATAGTCAGCATTCCTGAACTGTGAAAACAATTTAAAGAACTTAGAGGTCAAATTACAGAAACCCCAAACCAAAAAGTCCAGACACCTTAGTTTTCTGAAGGTCTGTCAGAGTGGAGAAAAACAGCCAAGGATGGTTGACATCCATTCAGGACACGGTAGGATCTTTTCATACATTTAAGCTTTGTAAAATGGGCCAGGGCAGATAGGAAGCTCCAATGATAGAATTGTGCAATAGAGAGTTAAAGTAGAGAAGACAGCCTTTTAACCCACTAAGCTCACGTAGGTAGATTTATCAGAGAGAGCAGTTGTTTCCAAACTGGGGTACACTAACCTTGGGGTATATCTTTCCAAGATACCTAAGGGGCAATGGGCCAAGGCAAAGATTTACGGAAATCAATTTCTAGATCCTCAACTTCTCTAAGTGCTAATTTCTAAAATGGGTCAGAATAAGAATTCACACACAGTAGAGGTGTGGGCTGTCCTTTTATATTTCCCCTTTCACAGTCCTTTTTCTCCCACCTTTGAAAAAACAAAGACATAGCTCCCACATCACTTCCCTGGGACACCTCTGGGAAGCAAATAAAGGAGCAAATCAAAATGTTGGTATTGGCATCAATAAAGAAAGAGATTCCTCTAACTAATGGATAACAAGTCCTCTATAAAAACGAGAGGTTTTCAGTTTCTGCTTCCAACACTGCTTTCAGTGTTGCTGTTGTCAGCTGACAGAATTGAGTGGCACTGTGATAAAATTTCTTCCATTCTTATCTAGTCATTTACATGAACAGGGTTTCAGAGCACTTATTCTCTAAAAACAAACCAACAGAAATAGTATTGATGCTGAACTTTAACTCGTCTTAGCAGAAAGTAAGATTCATCCAGGATTTCATGAACTAATTCATAAAAAAAAAAAAAGACTCCCATCCATCTCACTAAGAGGTGTATTTTCAGTAACATTTTACTTTTATGCTGTTTCCATCAATTGTATACTGTAATAAAAATTCAGTGCAGAATATAATTTTGATATCCAGTGCTTCCCCCTCACACCGAACTATAGCACACCACATTCTCAAGTCTGCATGTTGCTGCTTTTTTTCACTTAACGTACCATGGAGATCTTTCCGGATCTGTACATATAAAATGATCTCATCCTTTGAATGTGTATTTTGATTGTGTAACTCAAACATAATGTGTTTAACTATTTCCTTATAGATGAGTATTTGGGCAGTTTCCACTCTTTTACAGTTATAAATAATACTGGAAGGAATATCTTTGTACACATGTCATTTCACTGAAGTAAATATAACAAATGGAATTTAAGTTCATGAGAATGGCTAAGGTTAGCCCTAATTTGTTACTTGCCTGCCTCTTCACTAGGCTGCAAACTCCTTTAGGGCAGAGACGAGCGTTACTGAAATTAAGAACTGGACTTGGCCCTTGGCATCCGTGCAGATGAGTTAGTGAGACCCACTTGCCTTCCATAAGAAGAAACAGAGAATGCGGTAAACTGATTTCCTTGCCAATACTGTTTGGAGTAGGCTGGTTTATTTGAGTGGGACTGAATGGGGGGTGGAGTGGGTAAAAAGAGATAGAAACTGGATCAGCCAGAAAAAAGGAACCGCTAAGGGTCCATATCTCAGCTGGTTCAGAGCTTACTCCATCCTATGCTTTCCCTGTCTTTCAGCTCGGAAAAGGTTGGAATGTTCAGAAATAACTTTTTCCGGAAACGGAGGAAAAAGAAAACCATGAATGCAAAGGGATGGCAGTGTCCACATAATTCAGACTTGCTATGATTGAAATCAAAGCCTTGCTAATGTTTAATTTAGTTGCATACCTTCCTAAGTCCCTACCCTGTTCCTGCCTCAATTTCACCTGGTCTGGAGCTAACCAAAGGTAAATATTTAAATGAGCTATTTAAACTTTAAGTAGGAAGTAGACTTAGGTCGGCTCCGTGCTCAGGACAGTCCACCTGCTCTGATCTTGCTTATGCCTTTCATTCCCACTTAGCCTTTTGGGATAGTCCTCTGGGTCACTTTCATTATCCTGAAAATCCCCGTGTCTCTTGGCCTCCAAAAGCCTTTCTCTTGTGCCTGCTCTCTTTCTTTCTGGCTCATTCCATTTACCTGAAGTACACATACTACCCAGCTGCTGAGACCAGTTCCGCCCAGCAAGGCCCTGTGTTCCCCGGACAGGTAGGCCGTCCTCCGTGTGACATTCATGGCAGCCACATGTCCCCTGGGCTCCTCCCCGACACACAGGAGCTCCTGCTGCTTTCCTTTCCCTGCTTCAAAGCCAGTGGCTCCTGTTTCCTGCCTGCTGGATGTTTTCCATTCTCAGCACATTTCCCAGCTCAAGAGGACTGACCTGCTCTGACTTTGAATTAAGTCTCCCCATTTAAGGTCACCAGCTTCACAGCTTCTGATGACTTCAGCTGTAACGTCCTCAAGGGGATGGCATGTGGTCCTTTCCCCAAAAATCTGCTATTCTTTTACAGCCACAAAAACATAGAGTAAAAATAAGGTTATTTCTAGGAGGAACAGAGAGGAGTCGTTCCTGCCTGGGGCCTGTCCTGATTAGGCAGGTGGGGAGCAGGAACAATGGGGACAGGTTTGATTTTCATCAAGAAAAAAGTAAGGAACAGAAGAAAAGGAAAGAGAGAGGCAGGGAGGCAATTTTAACGAGGGCAGGTATGGCAGGATGAGAGGGACTGGGAATTCTCCAGTGGGAAAGAACAAAGGCTGTGGTTCGGTGAAGGGAAGAAATAGTTAACCTGATAATTCAGGGCTGAAGAGAAGTCCTTCCGCTCATAAGCCTCCAACATCTGGTTTGTCTTTTTTCCCAGGTAGTTATAGGTACTGAAAGAAAACAGCACACACTGTAGAACCAATAACCCCGCGGGAAAGGTCCAGATCTTCAAACCCCACTGCTACTTGCAAGGCACAAGTACACTGAGCTTCCAGAAAGTCTATTTTTAGGCCCTAACCTATCAGCGGGTCAGGTGTCTTCAGTTCTAAGTTTTCCAGCAGCACTAAGCAGTGCCAAGAGGAGGCAGAGAACACCCAAATCGAATGAAGAAAATGAAGGAAAGTGGAAAAGGATAAAATTAGAAGAAAGAAAGAAAGGTGGAGGTGTGTTTAGTAAGGAACCACTGAGTCTCTGGGCACACACAGAGGCACAGCCAGATAAGAGCTGTAGGTAAAATGTGAGTCCTAAAAACCTTCTGCTGGGGAAGTAGATGAAGGAGGCACCACAGGAAAAGGGGGAAGTCCCAATGGATTACCTAAATCCTTGACAACTTATATATTAACCTAGAGACCAGTTTCTAGAAAATAATAATGACAGTAATAAAAATGAGAGGCCATTTATTAAGTGCCTATGATATTTTAGGTGCTTGACATAAGTCATGTCTCATTCTCTCTCAGCCCTGCAAGGTAGGCCTGGTTTCTATTTCACGGTGATGAAACTATGGCTCAAGAAGCGCTACAGAGTTATCACAAAGTTTCCATCACTTCAGGCTGCCCTGTTATATAATCCAACAACAACAAAAGTGATTTGATCTGATAAAATGGTCTTGTGGACTTAGAAAAAAACAAACAGCTCTAACTAGCAATAAAGACAAATCACTAACATCTATAACCAGAAAGATAGGTTATAAAAATTTATAACTAGAATGCTTCCTCATTTGTTAACAAAATCTTGTATAGTCAGTCAGTATCAGGAAAAGTGCTCATCTTGATGTACCAAGAATAGAATGTCTTTCATGTATGTAGACACTAGAGTCAACATCAAGGAATTCCAAGAACTTGAAGTTCCTATTATCGTCCAGTAATAAAGTGCAAAAAAAATAAAATACTATAGCCGAGAAAAGTCACTTGTAGGTACGAAACACTCCTAAGTCCCAATATGTACATGGAAGTCTGAGGAGGTTCAGAATAGTACAGTCATATCCCAGGGGTCTTAGATGTGTCCTCAGAGAGGAACGTGATTCTAATGGAGACGACGTGGAGTCTAACCAAATGTACTCTACTTATAAATTATGTTGACCGAATTAAAATATCTAATACCAAGGCCAAAACAACAAGAGTCAGAACAGTCACAACTTCCAGAGGGAAAACCATTCCACAGTCAGCAGATGTGGGCATTTGGCTTTCCTTGGTAGAAATGGCCCTACGGTGATGCTGGAGGATACAGGCCATCCCGGCTTGTCTAACTCAGTTACTCTTCGCCAAAGCCATGCTCACCAAGACACACTGTGAATATTATTTGCTCCTCCTGTACCTTTCCTGCAGGGAAGGAAGGTACTTTCAGTTAGTGCAAATATTTCAATCCATCTGTCTGCAGACACATTTCTAATGAATTGGTTTTAACATGTGCAGTTAACTGATCATATTGCCGGCCTTCCCTGAGCAGGCATGGGGCCACACGATTCTACTTTCCTGCAGCAGCTTAGCTAGGGCCTTGGGCGGACACTTGACTATCTAGTCATATCCTGAGATGCCATATTTGGGCAGCCACGACTGACGGTGTGTGTGTGTGTGTGGAAGCACCGAAAACCCATTTGGAGAGAAAGGGAGGGGAAAAGAAGGAGTTTTGCAGAGAGAGGCAGAGGGGAGCGTCTCCAGAGGACTGCAGCTGGAGAATGAGCTGCCTTGGCTGTTGAGAGCTTTGTAGTTCTGGGTTCTCATGTTCTTAGGCTTGGCTATACTTTCTCCTCTTGAGTTTTATGTAATTTCCTAGTATTTTATAATAACAACTTAGTTCACATAAGATAGTTCAAATGGGTTTCTGTTATTTGTAACCAAATCATTTCTGTCCAAGAAATTCTGTGCATTGCTCTCAGCTCCTGTGCCTGACCTCTCACTGCATCAGAGGCTTCTAGTAACGATGGAGTTGCTCAGTCCTACTGAATTCCCTCTCACTGAAAGATGGTGGAGAAGAAAGGCAACTTCCATAGAAAAGGTGTACATGCAGGAAGTATTACTACTTAGGAGATGAATGCCTCTGTGGGGGGACTTGACATTTATACATTGGTACATGTGTAACCACTGGGGGAAATCAGTCCTGCTTACCTGCCCACTGCTCCCGTGGCTCCCATCACCAGAGCACTCAGCAGTTGCTAATCAGAAACAGACAAAGAGTATTTATTTTTATGCAAAAGAGAAGATGCTCCTGTATAAGCAGCTCCATAAATTGTTTTGGAGGGAAACTAACCTGTGAGATATGCCAAAGAGTGCCTTACCTCATCCACCCCGAAAAGGAAAGCAAACTGTCGCTCGCGATTCTGATCAACGCACTGTCCGAAGTCTAGGAGATCTGTGTCGCTAAATTTCAGCCCTTGGAAGGTGGGGATCTTCTCCTGAATCCCATCCAGCAGCTCCTCAGCACGAACTGCTCAAAACAATGAATGCCTCATGCATCTTCACACCCCCAGTAAATATCAAATAACATCCCATGTAGCCCTTCCCATCTGCACGGAGTTTCCAGGAGCTTTGCTCAGCCTTAACTGACCGCAGGTTGGACATGGCCGCTTGCCCTCGCCTAGCAGGTCCTATGTATTGTCACATTATAGCTCCAAGTCTCCCATTCCTTGAAGACTATCACTGGATATTTGTAGAGCACAACTTCTATTTTTATGTTTAAGAAAGAAAGAAATGGAAATTCAAAAAATAATCTAAAATATTTCATTTAATTGTAACAGTCTTCTTACTGGACAAGTATAGTAACAAGGCTAGAAGCAAGAAGAGGGCAGAGTACCTTCCTATGTGCCAGGCACTGAGAATACAGTAGGACACAAGGCAGACAGTCCTGTCCTAGTGGGGCTTCCAGGCTGTGTCTTCTTGTATAAGGAGGAGGGTGGGGGGGCGGGTGATAGACACAAGGGTCTGCTGGGAGTGCCCAGGGGTCAACTCCTCTCTCATAACTTAACTTCCATTATCGGGTGGTGTCAATGATTGAAAAGGGCTGACTTCATTTTTGATAAGAGTGATTTATTTTGGAGCAATTGGAACTGTCTAGTCAACAGCATTATGCTTTTATGACATGGGGTGGGTGGGAAGGATTGGGGTTCTTAGTGCATTAGGGTAAGATGTGAGAGGTGGGGAGAGAGCAACATGGGAAGAAGCAGCACTTACTCTTTACCCCTGTCAAGGCAGGGATGTGATAATAATAGAATGGCAGCGCCGGGGCAGCAGCAGCCACCTCCTTTAGGAAAGCAGTGAGGTCATCTGAAAGAAAGCAGGAAGAGTCCGGATGTGAACATGTGTAAAACACTGGCTTTCCCTGGTAGATGAACCAGCTCACGAAATGCAGCCATTGTTTTCGGGAGCCGGAAATTCTTGGCCCCTCTTACCAACCCTGTGATTGCTTACTGCAGTGTCTGCAAATCACTTCACTGGAAGTTGTACTTTCCTTTCTGTAGAAAGGCCAAAATAAGATGCTCACTTTCCTACTATTCTAAAGTACTGTTAAAATACTGGTATGGCCCAGCCAGTGTAGCTCAGTGGTGGAGCGTCTACCTATGACCTGGGAGATCATGGTCGGATTCCAGGTCAGGGCACATGCCTGGGTTGTGTGCTTGATCCCAATAGGGGGTGTGTGCAGGTAGCAGCCAATCAATGACTCTCTCTCATTATTGATGTATCTATCTTTCTCTCCTTCTCCCTTCCTCTCTGAAATAAATAAAAATGTATTTTAAAAAAAAACAAAACAGTGGTGTGAACCTCCCCGCCTATTAAGAGAAGCTCATGAGATACTCTTACAAATTTTAAAAAACAAAACAGTGGTGTGAACCTCCCCACCTATTAAGAGAAGCTCATGAGATACTCTTACAAAAATGAGAATCCCATCCGGTAGGACTCTTCTCCTCTTACCCTAGAGGGGCTAAATGTGGTCAGTGAACAACAAAGACTTTGCATTAGGATCAGAATGAGAAAGTTGTAACTGAGGAAATTCCCCAACAAAAGGATAAGCAACATCTGCTCAAAGGGAGTTATGAGAGTATTTGCACATCCCACAGTAATTCAACCAGAGTTTGGTACTTTTTCCTTTTGGGGAGAAATCCAGGTATATCAGAAGAGAGCTCACTCTAGTTTACTTAGGAACTGTTACTTTACATTATCCAGTGTGAGCTTCAACTGCAATATTGCTGCAGATAATAAATAAATCCATCAGAATTGCTTTTTATACCACTGGAGAATGGGAGAGAATCTTACATGCTCCACCTGAATACTGTAATGATATATTATCGATGATGAATATTTCAGACAGAAGTGTTATGTGTAATTTGTTCTTTTTCTCTTGTCTCTTTTGAGAAAAGTACTCATGTAAAAAAATTTAAAGCCATGTGAAAAAAAAACCTTACAAATTGTTCACTTTAAATTCCCAAAATAGCAGTATTTAAATTACTTTATATTAACAACATTAATAGATGATATTTTATGATAATTTCAACCTATTATACATTTAGTATGGATTTATTTAATCATGCATGCAAATAACATCTTGTCTGTTTCTAATCCTTTTTAAATTTCTATTTCTTTTTTTTTCTGATCAAAAGGATTACAAAGACTCAGGGCACTTGGAAACCACAAATGGTTTTTAATTGAGAGTGTAGAAGAGGAAAAAACAATACCTTGATATTTTGGAAGACACTAGATGTGTCTGTGAAATTTCAAATTCGTCATGCTCTCAACCTTGTATAGAACATGTAGTCTCAAAAGGCTCAGTACTCATATTCCTCTTTTTTGAGAATAATGGCCCCAAACTTTGCCATGTAACTCTGACACTCTGCACAACTCATACAACAAGGAGTGGACACCTGATCTAAACACAGGCACCTATAGGTTCACCTGAGCTCGGTGGATGACCCAATCAGATTACTTGGCAAAAGAGCTGAAATCCTTTAATGAAGTCTTTTCTTTACGATCCAGGGAGGCCAACTATTCTGGAGAACTGCTGTACCATTACAATGTCATGCATCTAGTCTATAAAACTTTACTTTCATGAGTTAAATATAACCATTGTGAATGAAGGCAAAAAGAAGTAGACCACATGAGGTGCTGTGCACTTAGACCTAATTACCTTTGTTCTGTGGCTTGAGAAAGAAAGGTGCAATAACAGCGATGCCATCGGCCCCAATTTCTGCTGCATGTTGGGCCTTTAAAAGAAGAAAGAAGACCCTTATGGATCTGGTCACAATTCTAATGTGAAGAGGTGTGAGGGTCTCCCCTCACCACAAGCAATCCTCTGACATTAGCTGGGTATCCTACGATTCAACTCAACTCCGACACTCTCTACCTGGACATAGAGTCAGATTCCAGATGGTGAGGGCTCAGTCCCCGAGCCCCCTGCCCCCACTTCAGACTCCAGTCACCATCCCAGGTTATCACCTGTGCTTCTGACTCACTGGCTATAGATTGGAAGTTCTAACTACTCAATCCTTGGGTTGATTAATTTGCTAGAGTGGCTCTCCCAGATGGACCCACATACACACCAGTTCTTGGGACTCCTTCAAGCTCAGGGCTCCTACATGAATTACCACTTGATCCAACCTGCAAAAAAGAAGCACAGTTGTGTTAGGGGCAAAAATAGAATATTGGGGACTAACTGTAGTTATAAGAAATATTAATCATGCTCCATTAACCATGATTGCCTTGTTCTGCTTAAAGAAAGGACATTCTAACCTGGGAGTTGTACACCCCTGGGACTTGGGAGTCAACCTTGGACCTGCGAGTCAACCTTAGAATGTGGTCCATTCTCATTCAAGAACTGCCTAATATCATAGAAAGATTAGCAACCTTGTTGCCCAAACAATGGAGTCCCTCCTCAGCCCACATTGCCTACTTTCCCATGCCTGTAGTTCCTACTTCCGCATGTAATCTTTGTCCTACCCAAGCAGCTGGCTTATGGGGGGCTACAGAGCAGATTTTTTTTGTGGATGACCTGCTGCTTTCCCATACTGCCAACAGTATCGGAATAAATGCTCATATATAATTCAACCTTGTCTCTGTTTAATCGGTTCAAGTAGTGACAAGCAGCCTGGACCCATCGGTTGTCTGGTTTCAGTTGCATCATCTGAAGTTTATGACAACATAGAGGGGCTGTACTATTTTGGTTTGTGCGGGATTTAGCAGTTAGCTAATAACTGATTAATTTCAGTCTCATGACTATTAAATTCTGCAGTGGCCTATTTATAATTAATCTAATTCAGGACTTAAAAAAAAAGAATGTCCAGACAATAAAATTTTAAGGTTCAACTGAGAAGAATTTTGAAACCAATAACTGATTAATCAATACTTGAGTACTGTTTTTGACAAAGCATTGTTTTAGATGTGGTATTTGATGGTGATTGTATACATAAAGATAGGTGTAAAACTTAGATTTTCTTTCTTTTTTTTGTGGGAGATAGAAATAAAGAGGTTCCTCACAGAGTACAATCCGGAACCAGCCATATGAGAAATGAAGTCACTGTAAAAAGCTTTTTCCAATCTTGTAAGTCCCTAGAATTTGGCCCTAAGAGGTTTTCTCTGAGACTCCACTGTTCATCTTTAGAAGTGCTCCATGTGGCCCCGGGGGAAGAGGCCACAGAGACTGGTCTCAGGAGAGGAATTAACAAGATCCCACAGTGAAACCAGGTGTCCCAGTGCGTCTCCTGAGGGACTCTGAATGAGACAGACCCCATGCTCAAGGGATGGAGATGCTGCATTTCCACTTAGGCCCAATCTCTGCGTCCTGCACTGATTCCTGAGTTGTTCTGTCTTGGGTAAAATGGGATGTGATATGATCGGGTCTGCATTGTTAAAAGATAATAAGACTTTTGAAAGGAGAAAAGAAGCTGACTGACCTGTTTGACTCTTACCTGTAACTTTATTGCATGACCTCCTTGTCCCTGTTAACTGGCTTAAGTTAAAACAATCATCCATTTCCTGCTCCCCTCCACGCTGGTGCTAGATGCTGCTAGAGAAAACTCTGTATGGCTTGAATACAAACTTGTCATTTCCGATTCAGGAGATGGAGACTCCAAAAGGCCTTCTGGTTGACCTGACTTACTTGCCTTTCCAATTTCCCTGCAGTGGCTACTCCAGATCTTCACTATTCTCCTTAAGTTCTAAATTCCACCCAACTCCTTGTTCTGGGCAGATGTCTTCACTTCCTAGAAGCATGAATTTCTCTGTAGAAGAGCCAGAAGCCTAGGGGAGCCAGGCACCAGCACCTTCCCTTTTCCCCCCAAGTCCAGGGCCAGGTAACCCAAGAGGAGGGATTGGTAGATAGCTGAGAGGCAGGTTCCAGTTTTCGGGTGGGATCTCCTAGAGCCAGGCATGTCTTGAAGCCTAGCTGCCCTTCCATACAAAGAAGGGGGCCCCTCTGCCTGGGTTCCTCATCCATGTGCTAGGATCCTTGGGTCCCTGTTCATTGTCCCACAAGCTGACCTTGAACCTGACTTGTGACTGGAAGACAGGGAGGCTGTGTCATCGAGGAAGAGCCGCTGACGATACAGCTCTGACAGATGAGTGTTTTTATCAGGGTGGAGCCACTCACTTGTTCCTTCCTTTTGTCACCCACTCCTCTGCGACCCGGCGGCGCTCTGAGATGCTCAGAGACAGGCCTTCTCCCGTGGTGCCATTCACTGTTCCAAATAAAGAGGCAGTCAGTGATCCAACATCAACAATGGGAGGGGGGGCAGGGTCAGAAATCCCTGCTTAGGAGGGAGTAATAGGGAGAAACAGCAGAGGATCCACTCAGGGAGGGAAAATGCCATTTTCCATTTTCTCCTCAGACTCAGTATTATTTTCTTCTTCACCTTGTCAAAAGTAGCAGGAAGGTGAATTCTGACTTACAATTACAAATATGTCACTGCTATCAGGGATAGAGAGCAAAGACAAGGATGACTGCCCGTGTTTTAGGCAAATCTCCAACACACCACCCAGTTCGATATTTGGGCTGAATGGCAGGGCAGTCAACACCCTCCAGTCCTGGATGTCAGGTCATGGCTGCTGTCTGCAGTTCGGCATGGGAGCACTCTAGCACAACTTACTTTTTAAAATATATTTTTATTGATTTCAAAGAGGAAGGGAGAGGTAGAGAGAGATAGAAACATCGATGATGAGAGAGAATCATTGATTGGCTCCCTCCTGCACGCCCCATACTGGGGATTGAGCCCGCAACCCGGGCATGAGCCCTTGACTGGGAATCAAACTGTAACCTTTTGGTTCTTAGGTTGATGCTTAACCACTGAACCATATCAGCTGGGCTAGGACAACTTTTTTATAATAATTCAAAAGAAAGCACCAGGATGTTACTATTTCCTGTAGAAGTGAACATATTTTCTTATATGTTCACTTCTCACAATAGCCCTGCCAATTACAAATAATTCTTCCCATTTACAGATGAAAAAGTGAGGCTCTGAATCACTAACTAATCCAAGTTTGAATCCAGATCTCTGTGATTCCAAAACATTCCCTCCTAGCAAAGTCATCCCTTAATAGGTCACAGAAAGGATGCCAATGGCACAGGATCCATCACTGCGCCTAATGCATGTGGCAGCACGTTGGCTCTCCAAACGCCAGCATCAGCTGGGACAGAGGAAGGTGGGAGGCCAGGGGAAGTTGGGAAGTGTTATCACTCTTGGTGTTGTGAGACACTTCAAGCATGCTCCCTAGAGCCTTCTGAGGAGGAAGAATCTGTCTTCCCCACTATGGCTTCCAGCTGGAGGGGGACCATGAGTGATTCTGGAGTCAGGTTTTGGTTGTGACATGTGGCCTGATCACCTTTTCACAGAAGTTTAACCTGATGTGATTATGACCACGGTGCCTCTAATTTTGAAAGGGACCCTGTTGGTAGAGCAGCAGCTCGGGGCCAAGGTGTAGTGTTCTATCCAAGGGGCTGAGGCCCAGAACACAACACAAGGGGCTGGGTAGTCACAGGTAAGTGTACTAGTAGTTGTCAGGCTTAAAATGTTCAAGGTCTGATTTTTCTAATTTCTACTATATGAATAAATGAGGGTAACTGCTCGACCTGCAATTCCTTTATGTGCTGCAGTTAGAGTCTTTCTTACACATACAACAGGAAAGGTCTGGGAGAAGGGAGAATAAAGCCCGTTCTTAAGAAAGAGAAGCCTGGGCCTAGCCAGGTGGCTCAGTTGGTTCGAGCGTCGTCGCAATCCACCAATGTGGGGGTTTCAATCCCTGCAGGGCATGTACAAAAATCAACCAATGGACGCATAAACACGTGGAACAACAAACATTAATGTCTCTCTCCCTCTTCCTCCCTTTCTCTTTCTCTCTAAAATCAATAAGTAAAAATTTTTAAAAAAGAGAGCAAAAGAGAAACCTGCGTTTTGTTATTCCTCTAGCATTTGTTGACAGAATAAACTTGGGCAACCTAAATAATATACCTGAGCCACTGATTTTCTTCCAGTGGAGGTAAAAACAATACTCTTTCTGTTGTGAAGGCACACCACTAAATCAGATAATCTTTTGAGGGACTTTTTAGGTCTAAAATTAATGAGTCTACAAATTCACAAATCTGACATAGCTTAGCCAGGCTCACTCATGACCTATGACACAACGACACTGTAACCTCCTGGCTACTTTCTAAGGACTGAGCTAGAGGAGTTATGGACAGAGCTAGAGTTAAGGACTGAGCTAGAGTTATGGACAGAGCTAGTTATGTAGAGAAATCTCTAAAGGTGACTTACCAAAAATATTCTTCACTCCCTGTTTTTCCACAAGATAATCCACGTACTGACCAATGACTGAAAGGTTGATTTCTCTAAAAGACACAAGAAAAAATATAGGAAAAAATGTATACTTAGTCTTTTTTAGAATATTATTCAATCAGTCCCCAAGTCTATCACCTGCTCTCTGTTGGTAATAGTTTTTTAAAAAATATATTTTTATTTATTTCAGAGAGAGAGGGGGGGGAAAGAGAGAGAGAGAGAGAGAGAGAGAGAGACAGAGAGAGAGAAACATCAATGATGAGAGAGAATCATTGATCAGTTGCCTGCTGCATGCCCCACAGTGGGGATCTAGCCTGCAACCCAGGCAGGCATGTGCCCTGACCGGGAATCAAACCATCACCTCCTGGTTCATATCGACGCTCAACCACTGAGCCATACTAGCCAGGCTGTTAATAGTTTTAAAAATCCACCTAGTCAGTTGTGAAATTCCTAGCCTCCTCTGCATAATTCCTGTTTTCTTGTTTTGCTTTCTTCTGTCTGGTGGTTTCTCTGCTCAGCCAAATGTTCCTCACTTATGTGAGCAAAACACTATTAGTCAACAAAGACTTTACATTTAATTATTAAAAAAGCATCTTGAAAAAATAATGTTCAAAAGGAAGTTACGGAATCATCTTTTGTTCTTTTTGGGAAGAGTGACGTTTGGGGGCATGGTTACATGAGAACATTTTCTACTTGGTGAGAAGCAATAATTTCTTTGGCTTATTAAATAGGAAAATTCAATCTTACTAAATTTAAGAATTTTAGCACTTAATAGTTGTGACAACAAATGAAAGCATAACTCCATATGTATTTGCTAGTTTTAAGTCAAAGAGGATTACCAGTTGGAAAGGAACTTTGCCTCTCAAAGTGCAGTGAGTGGAACAGCAGCACCTGAGGGAGTCTTAGAAATGCAGAGTCCCAGGCCCCACACAGCCCTACCCAGTCAGAATCTGCATTGTAACAAGATCCCATGTCATCTGCATGCACTCTGTAGTGTACTGAACTTATAAGCATCTGATGCTTAAGGCAATAAGAGCTCTTGTCCTCAAAACCATATTGACTGTGAAATCCACAAACTGACTCAAACACAAGCCATATAAAACCACTGTTCTCAGTCATAATAGAGGTGGGGCAGATGATGGCAGGAGAGCGAAAATACAAAGGAGAAATGTGGGGCAAGTCTGTGTTAAATGTTGTAAAAATGTGAATGAGGTTAAAATTAAATTAGGATTCGCTGGCCCCACTGACAAAAATGCAAATGGCAGCCAACTAGTACTTTGTGTTCAAAACAAAAAAAAAATCTGATGCATTGAGAAAACAAAGACATCAAAGGGTATTGTCAAATGGAATGGGAACCAGAGAGACCAAAACAAGGAATTCACAGACAATCACTGCCCACAACATGCAAATGACAGCCAGCCCCCTGCTTGCCCTTGGGAGCAGGTGTACCTCCAAGGGGAGCAGACTCCCTCCATAATGGCTAATGTACAGGTATCACTACCTTAACCCTTCCTGCCCACTTGCTTAAATGCCAAATCCTGGCCTCTCAGATTTACTAAGCAGGGAGGCTCCCTGAATGCATGACAGGGACGAATTTAGGTTGCTCTTACTGAAAGATAAGATGGGTGTGTTATCTGCCTAGACCAGTGGTTCTCAACCTTCTGGCCCTTTAAATACAGTTCCTCATGTTGTGACCCAACCATGAAGTTATTTTCGTTGCTACTTCATAACTGTAATGTTGCTACTGTTATGAATCGTCATGTAAATATCTGATATGCAGGATGGTCTTAGGCGACCCCTGTGAAAGGGTCATTTGACCGCCAAAGGGGTCGCGACCCACAGGTTGAGAACCGCTGGCCTAGACAGTCCATCTCAGGACTCTCATTTATTAGTAGGTCAGCTTGACCTGCTCAACTTCTTGAAATCTCTCTGTGCCTTGGGCATTTCTGACCACTCAGAACCGTATCTTTACAATATCCCAGCTCCTTGCTGCTTCCATCAGTTTTTCCCCACTTGGGATAAGCTCTGAGACGCAGGAGCAAGCAGTAGGGGCTTTGTTTGTGTGACACAATCTCTGGTTTTGACCAGTGATGTCCATCTACTCATGCAAACAGTCACAGAACAGCTCTGAATCACGGAGCAGAAACTGAGAAGAACCTGGCTGGGTGACAGCCTGTGTTGGAGTTACAGGTTCAAACACAGTGGCTCCTGTACCCTTTCACCGAAATGTTACCACCTCCCCAGTCCCACCACTAACTCAAGGACTCTGACAGAGGCACTGTGGTTTCCCCCAAGGAGAAGCTAGAGCTCTGGTCCAGGCCTGGTAGGCACTGTGCATTCTTTGCCTTTCATCTAATACCTTCTCATCTGGGAAAGGGAGCTGGAGAGCTTGTTTACATTCTCAGAAATCCTTACAGAGAGAAACCGACTTACACCTTCTGTTAGTGTGCATGTGTGTCTCCACAAAGTGGACTCCTAAACTCAACAGAGACCTCCACCTCCACGGAGGCCTTGAACGGCCAGGCCAGCACAAATGCTTGGCACTGTTTCAGGCTCCAATGAAATGCTCAAGCATTACTGCTGTTACTGCTCCACAGTGACAAAAACCAGAAATACCCGACACCTTTAGCCAAGTCCACAGTCTCCTTTATTTTAAACATCAATTATTTATGCTGCAGCAAGAACTTCCTGACGGTGCCTTTTATACCTTGCAACCCCTGGTCTGCACCAGGCACAGCATAGATGCTCAACATCTACATGTGTCTCCCACCACGTCCCCCACTCTTTTAGGCCTGGATGATGGACAGGCTACAGCAATTTCACTCAGGTTAGGGCTGCCAATGGGTGACAGATGACCTAACCCTCCAAGGAAGTTTGCTGCTGCTTATAAAATGCTTCTCGCCTACAGGAGTGATACTAATGGTGGGATTTCTGGGGCAGTGGCAGAGTGACCCAACATGTTCTGAGACGTATGGCCTTTTGGAACTTTTAAATCCCCTTAAAGAGGTCAGAGGTTGAAAAGGGATGGCCCCCCAATGTGTTTTGTTGACTTTCACTATGTTAAAAGAAAAATGATTTTATTTGAAAAGTCAGAAGATCTAACAAGGCCAGGCCTGCATTTCCATACAGCACCAATGGCTGGGTGCGCAGTGGCTGCCCCCACGGAGGCACAGAAGCCCCCGTCCACCGCAGGGACTTCGGTCCCTGTCTGACTGCAGATGCAAGTCCGAGGCCGTTGGCAGGATGCTGAGACCCCAGTCACAAGAGAGCCCAGTGAAATCGCCTCGAGCTGTTACCGTATTTGTCACAAGGGCACCCAAATAGCAGGGCTCAGGAGGTAACAGGATGATAATTCTCTCTGGGGACTTTACCCCCTTCCCTGCTTTCCCACCTACTCTACCTCCCCAGGGTATCTGGGTTCATGTCCATTGCTGCAGGCACTCTGTCAGTTACCAAGAAGTCACTGGAGAGAAGGAAACTGAGAATGAATTATTCTTCTCTTCACTAGCTGTTTGGGGCTCGGTGCTCATGGAGGTGAGAGGGGGCACCAGCCAGGTCACTTGAAAAAGCGGGACCGGCTTTTTACTGCACCTTCCCTTCCTCCAGGAGCCCCAAGAACACAGCTCACCAGTAATCTCGGGGGAGACTGGCCTGAACCAACCCCATGCTTCCTGGAGTCATTCTCAGTCTGAACTCCAATTTAATATCTTAATTTCAGTTCCCATGGGCTCAGATGCTTTGCCTTAGGTCCATGATTGTATTTTAAATAAAAGTATTTAACTTTTTTTCTTATTACAGAAGCTACATCATGTATTTTAGAAAGTCCACACAGTAAGAAAGGAAAAAAATAAACCACTCAGGATCTCCCTGGAGATGATTACTCTTATTAGTTTGATAGTTTTCTGTTCACAAATACACAATATAGTATTTTCTTAAGTAAATATAGGCATATTATACAGTATTGTAATTTTTTTTTCACAGCATTTCTAAATTGACTATTCCCCCACCTCTTCAGATATTCTGTTACTATACTGGCTACACAGCATCTCATTGTATAAATAGACATAATTAATTTAGCTAATGCTCTATTCTTAGACATTTCATTTACTTACAAACTCTATCAGAAGAGAGATCTTTAATCATGTTATTTCTAACCATAAATTGAGGCCCTGAGTGGTGAACGAGGAAACACACGTAGACTATACCGATCTCTTCTCTTACAGTATAAGGATAATAGAGTTTTCTGAAGTGTCTTTTCAGAGAAAAATCCCTATTACTGTGTATTTCCTCTCCTGGCACACAGTACACAGGAAAGACTCTTTGTATACAGAATCAAGAGGGACAGGCAGGCTCTTTTCACAATGGGCTAGATCGGGCGTGCATATCGGGGAATCTGACATTCCGAGCTTTTTGCCTTTCCCCTACATTTTTCAGCCTTTGAAATCAATGGAAGTTATGTGTGCTTTTGGCAAAGTAACTACTTGATTACTTTGAAGCTCCTTCAGCAGAGACGTGGGCAGGGATTATGTCAGCCCCACGGTGCCAGGGCATGTTCTGGGAATATGGGTCACAGTCTCCCAAACACAGGTGAAAAGACGGTAATCTGTACAACTCTGACGCCAGCAGGCCAGGCCCTTTCTGACGGGGATAATGGGTTTTGTTTTACTAGAGAATGTGGTGAAGATTCCCATGGTGAAGTCAAAGGCATTCGAGGGAGAAAACACAACTTTTTTTGGGATAATGGGTTTTGTTTTACTAGAGAATGTGGTGAAGATTCCCATGGTGAAGTCAAAGGCATTCGAGGGAGAAAACACAACTTTTTTTTCTTGACATTGTAACCAATCTGAAATGGACTTTCTGTTCTAATGACTGTGCTTGCCTGAAGGGAAAAGTGACTTATTGAAACAAAGAATGAAAGCAAAAGTCTTTTATACTCCAGTATAGAAACAGATAGGGGTTGGACTAGGTAGAGACTTTCCTTTCCGGCTATGAGGCTGGGGGCAAGGTCTTTGGGATCTTGGTTTCATTCAATGTAAAAATAGGGATGGTAGCTGTCACAGACTTGTTGTGAAGATTAAATTGGAACATGTACATTGAAATACCCAGCATGATGGACACACGGTGTTTAGCCAATCAGCGTTAGCTTCCTTCCCCCTGTTTGCCTGACCATCAGCATTAATCATCCCTGTAGTGTATTCACTCATGAAAAACCAAAATTCACCACACACTGTGCTAGATGCTGAAGATTCCAAGATAAATAAGATACATGCTCCATCCTTGTGTACTGCCTGGTACTTGAGAAATGTCTATTGAATACGGGGAAGTCACTCAGAGCCTCCTGGAAGAGATAGGCATGTCACAAACAGCTTACTGTAACACTTACTATAAACAAGTAATTCTGATGGAAAGTGGTGTGCACATGGTGCAGGGGAGGGATCCTCTTACTCTTTTTAGGGAAAATGGGAAAGAATCACCAAAGGATGGTTTTGACAGATGGAAAGAAGTGTTCAAGTGGAGCAGAGAAAGGAGAGGATGCGGTAGAAACAGGCAGAGGGAACAGAATGGGGAAAGGCACAGAGGAAGGGAGGGTATGAAGTGCTCGGGAGAAATGGAAGTGTAGCAGGATGGTTAGACTGTACAGGACTTCCTCTGTCATCCCAGAGGGTCTAGACCAGCCGTGGGCAAACTACGGCCCGCGGGCCGGATCCGGCCCGTTTGAAATGAATAAAACTAAAAAAAAAAAAAAAGACCGTACCCTTTTATGTAATGATGTTTACTTTGAATTTATATTAGTTCACACAAACACTCCATCCATGCTTTTGTTCCGGCCCTCCGGTCCAGTTTAAGAACCCATTGTGGCCCTCGAGTCAAAAAGTTTGCCCACCCCTGGTCTAGACTCTAGGCTTTCACCTTTCACCCAGCTCATTCAGACCCTATGCAGTAGGATCTGAAATTCTGCATTTCTAGCAAGTTCCTATGTGATGTTAGAGAAAATGGTCCACAGATCATAAAATGAGTTGCAAGGCTTAGATTCTTAAAGAGGGAGAGTGACATGATTGCATTGGTTTACGAGGAAGCTCACTGGGCTATAGTGTGGAGGAGAAACTGGAGTTGCAGGTATTTTATTCATTCTTACTTAATGGGGATCACCAAGATATCCCCGATGTCATCGGAGGACTGCAGACTCCCAGAATTAGAATGGCCTTTCGAGAGAATGTGGTTGGACTTCCTCTCTTTACAGAATATGAAAGGGAACTTTTAAAAGGTGACAGGACGGCCCCAGGGTCAGACCGCTAGCTGGTGGCAAAGCTGGAGGTTAACAACTCAGACAACCCATTTAACATGTTCTTTTTGCCAATTTCCGCAGTTAAAGACATCAAATTATATTCAGAGAGTTGATTTGGTAATAAGAATGCCTTAGACTCATGAAGAAAAAGGAGACAGGGGAATAAATAGTTCTTGTTCAGCCAAGAATTATGGAGACCATGGTATACAGTATGAGCCACGTATAAGAACCCCACAGTGGCAGGTCACGAGGCAGAATGTTCACCGTGAGATTCCATGTGACCCTTCTTTTTGTCCTATCTCTTAGAAACATGTCAGGAGTGCAGATTCCCTTGTGGGTAAGTAAGTTAAAAGCCAGCTGTTCCTCGTGGGTGCTCCAAACCTGTTTTGTATGTATGGGAATGTTTGGTGGGAGAAAAGGGAACCAACACAGCTTATGTGCCTACTATGCCCTATTTATATTTTATTTTCTAAATGTGTTTTTATTGATTTCAGAGAGAGGAAGGGAAAGGTTGAGAGGGAAAAAAACATAAATGATGAGAGGGAATCATCAATTGGCTGCCTCCTGTCTGCCCCCCACTGGGGATTGAGGCCGCAACCTGGACATGTACCTTGACCTGGGATGGGACTGTGACCTCCTGGCTCAACCACTGACCCACACTGGCCAGGCTGCTATATACATTTTTATAATGTACTAATTTAATTCTTACACGTTTCTTACAAAAAATACATTCTTATTTTGATTTGAATTGATGAAAAAAGAGAAAACAGTGAAGTGGAGGCAGGAGGGCCAGAAGTATTTGAGAAACGGAGAAGGAACCAGCAGAGCAAAGTTATGTTAGTAATCTCCTATACATGCGGCCACAGCAAAACAGCAGAATAGGGAGGAAGAACACACTGACATTCTCAATGGGCCCCAGATGAATAAATGAGACTGTTTTAAAAAGCCACTTCTAGGCTAAAGGGGTCTGATTGAAAAGATTAAAGTAGCATAGACCAGATGTAGTGTTTTGGGTTTGCAAACAGGAAATAAATTCTGCCTGCTCATGCAATCACATGTCCTCTGTTTCATCTGTCCAGCAAGTGGCTGACACAACGAGAAGGAGCTGACTTCAGTCTTTCTTAGAACTTAGGGAAAAAGAGAAGCAACAGGAAAAAAAATAATGCTACTAACCATTGAGTAATCTAAATGGCATCTCAGCAAGAGTTTTATTTAGAACTAGCAAAGATGTGAATTTTCATGAATCCTAGAAGCTGGAATTCTTGAATTCACAATGATCTAAAAGGAAAACTGTACTATGGCCAACTTTGATAACAATAAAAGTTAAAGAAATTTCATCTACTTTAAAGTAGGATTAATGTTTACAAATTCAGCAACAGAAGACCAAAAATAAGAGCCTTATTTAAAGATATCTTAAATTCCTCATCTTCCTTTTACCCCGCTCTTATGCCACAAAAGCAGTTCAAACTTATGGATCTAAGTGCATATTGATCGTAAGCTAAGCACTATTCTATGGATAATCTCACTTAGCACACATAACTCCATGATCATTTATATCTTGTAGAGGAAGAAAGAAGAAGCTTAAAGAAACCAGAATTCTGATGGTTTTGGCAGACTGACTTCTCTAAAATGTCAAAAACATTTAGATGCAAGAGGCAAATGAATCTCCTTTTCCTAAGTGGCAACGTCCCAGGGAGAAGTTATATTTCTCGTATGGACATGTACGGCACATGACTATTATCTGACAGTCTAAGCAAAACAGTATGGATGGCCATATTATTCATGTGGAAGTCAAAATACTTGTTTGGCCAATGATTTCTCAGCAATCATCTGTTGCTACCTCCCACTCCTGCAGGCTCCCCAGCATGTAACCGATGTTGAAATGAGACTGCAAACATGCCTACGGGGTCCCTCTTACAGCTACCTTCTCCACCTTCATCCTGTCTATGAGCAGCCTGAGGTGGAATTATGCAGATGTCTAGAGACAGGATCTAGAGGAGCCAGGTCAGTGAGGTCAAATCCTGCTAAAATGAAAGTCTCATCCAATTCCACTGGTCTTCTTTGGGAAGCCAAAGCTGTGATAAAATCCAAGGAGAATTTGCACTGTGGAGCTACAGACCCTGGGAGAAAGGAGAGCTGCTATATCTTTTCTCTCTTTCTGCACTGTTTGAGATATAGAGACCTCGTCTCTGACTTGGGGCCAGAGACAACGGTACCACAGAGGTGCACAGATTAAGTGACTGTTACACAGAGAACATCAGTCCATTTTGGTGGAGAACAGATCCCTTTAAGGTCCCAAATAGTAGTTACCCATGCTCGGTCATCGGCGTGATGGTTGCAGCAACCAGACCTTGAAGGTTCTTCTTCTGGGAGGCCATTGAGCTGCAGAAAAAAAAAAAAAATACAACAGAATTATTCTCTTCTTCAAGGAATGTCAATTAATGATAAAACTCCTGGGCAAAGTCCGTTCACCATTTAGAACTGTGAAAAAAATGCTTACAAGTCTGCAAACACAGCAAGCAAGTTTGAGAATGTAGAATTTCAGGGCTTAATTCGAAAGGAGAGGAAACTATGTTTTTAAAGTCAGGAGAATAGTGGCCTGGCAACATACCACTGAAGAGACCTCCAACTTTATCTAGACCAGCGGTCGCCAACCTTTCAGACCTCACGGACCACCGGTTGGCGACCACTGATCTAGATGATTGAGAAAATGTCAAACCTCAAAGAGCAGGGATAAAAAACAAGAGATCAAAGAACATGATCCTAACTCAGGGAGCTCAGATATATAAAGAATTACTATTATTTACGTTGGAATGTGGTCAGGAGAACTGGGACATTCCTATCTTTCTGTATCTTCATTCTGTTAAGCAAGAATCAGCTCTTCCAGTCTGAAGGCTTCAGTGTAATCTCTGTAGCTCATCTTCCTTTCAGATTCTAACCTTGACCGTTTATTTTGTCCTGCTTTCCTAGTTCTAGTAAACCACATCACAAGTATGTATTCACCTCTCCCCCTCTAGACCCTGCTCCCCAGGACAAGGACTACATTTCATTTGCTTTGCTTTTCCTTCACTGAATGTTCTGCAGACACCTGTGTCCAATGAAAAATTGATGACTTTCTGGTTGATTGAATGAAGTGTTCAGGTTGTAGCTGAATGATGACTTCCAAGAGTGCCAGACACACAGTAAGTACAAGTTCAGCCTCCTCCATGAAGTCTTGTCTGATGGCTATAGGACATTAGCAAGTACTATCATTTTTCCCTTACCAGCTCTTTCCTGTCATCCCAGCTCTACCGGTACCTCCTCCCCAGCCCTAGCTACTCTTGCCAATTCAGGGGCTAAGTCATTTCAATTCTGTTATCTTCTTTCCTGCATTCCTTTCCTCCCCCCTTACTGCCCCTCTCATAACTTACCCTTTGTTACCTCTTATCTACACACCAATGGGCGCAACCCAGGTCCCAAGAGGCCCATGGGGGCTCAAGAAAGTTCAAGCGATAAGCGTCCCAAGAGCTGGGTTCAGCACAGTCTCCTAAATCAAACAGCACTAGGCTGTTCACTCTACACTTCCATGTTCTTGGGCTTTGGGCTGCATCTATTTCATGCTTAGGGTCAGATACTCTTATGGTGGTCAGAAGCTCAGACTGGCAATACACACACACACACACACACACACACACACACACACGATGGGTTAACACTTTCAAAGCATGTGGGAATGGCATGAGAGTTGGGAACCACTGTCCTAACCCCCTCTCTTTATCTTTCAATCCACACAGGCTGCCAGATTAATCTCCCAGTATAATGGACATTTCTGACCTGGCCTTTGCCAATAACGTTCACCCTGGCTTTCACGAAATAAATATGTACTAAACTCCCTGGCCCAGATCTCTGTAACGATCTCTTTATGCCTGCAAGTACGCGCTAGCCCAGCTGGTTCCTGTTGCTACCTACCTTCACTCGTCTGGCTGCTTGCCTTTCTCCCGTGGTTCTCCTACCTGGAATGCCATTATCTCCCATTTCAGCCCCTCCAGTCTAGTCAACTTTTTAAAAGCTAGGGAACATTCCCTGATTCTCCCAAGATGAAAATAATTTCATACCCCTTAGAATTTCCCCCCAAAACACTGGCTTTTTATTAAAAGCCTTATGTCAGAGTTATTAGCAGGGTAGTTTG